TGTATTAAGGCCTGAAGTGTTGGTCCTATTTTTTCTTCTATGAACTTTATAGTTTTAGGCTTTATATTCAGGTCTTTGATCCATTTTGAAGTGGTTTTTGTATACGGCGGAAACACGTCTTTTTTGAAGAACCTGACACCTGTAACTGCATGGTGGGTTACTATCCTCCAAGGGACGGGACTCCTCCCCTGGAGGTGGCAACAGGTGTCATGTGTTCTCTGCATGCTGATTTAACAATGGAGGCCTGGCCAAATGAATTTTCCACTGACATGAAAGGCTTAAAACACCTGGATGCTGCTTCTTAGAGCCACCAGCTATATGCCTCTGGGGTTACAGAAGTCAGTTACAGTAACACCCACGGGTCAAGTGCCACATACTGACCTTAATGTGGTTCTTTCTACTTTTAAGTGTCAACTGATAAGCTTTATTACTTGGTGGCAGTTACATTTTACTTTTAAAACAGTAAGCCCCACCCTGCATCCTTGATAAGGATGTACACGTACTCTAGTATCTCTCTCAAACTGCAGAGGCCCTTGATGAATCATTTTACATAAGCCAGAGGTGATAACTGTACTCAGTATATTTAATTCTGTGGTTTTCAGACTTCGGGGATTTTTTTTATCTATACATGAAACAGTACAGATTAGGATATTAAAGAGACCACTCTGGCCATTTTTAATTTCTTACATGATCTTTGATTTGATTTTTCAGAAAGATAAGTTTTCCCCTTCCCCCGCCTCTTAAGCTGCTGCTTGCTATTTTCACTTCACTGGTTGTCTGGACGTTAGAAGGGATAGGGGGATAAGCAGGTGTATATGACACTGTTATTTAAATACAGTACAGACCACCCTACCAGACAAAAAACAATGGCAGAATTGTCCTAACATGCATTATAAAACTGAAAGAGAGGCAAGATATAGTTGTAAAGAGGAAGACTTGCTGCTACTCTGGATTTATTTCTGACTAACAAGAAACATTTGATTGATGACAGAAGGTGACCTTGAAAAAGACTGTGCCATCTTTGACTGTGTCCTACAGGCAATCCCCCAGTTATGAATGTCTGACTGACATACAGCCTGCCCACAACTCTCAGACAGTCTGTCATATTAACTATTCGAGGCACATACAATGGTTCGTAAAAACAAACAGGCGCTACTTTGCAATGTGCATCAAAACATTACTGTTACCATTATTGTATTATTACATTAAAGAGGTTTTAGTCTACAGGAAGTGTTTAATATTTTTATGCATAGAAGGTACAGTATATATTCTACACTAAGACAAACATTTGACTGACATTAGATACCAACCGTACCTAACTGTTCTGACTTACGTACAAATTCAGCTTAAAGACAGACTTCGGAACAGAACTTGTTCGCAATCCAGGGACTGCCTGCACTGAAGAAAAGCCAGGCTAGATATTGTCTACATGTTCAAAAAGAACACAGAAAAAGGTCTGACACGACAAAGACTTGAAAGGATAATTATCATCCAAGACAGAAGATTTATAAGAATTAAAATTTAGACTATAGAAATATGAATAATACCAATCCATAAAAATAAAAGGGATATATATTTTCTGGGGTTAAAGCTTAAACAGAGGTTGGGTTCTAAGATCAGCAAGCAAAAACCGTGTAGAATAAAAATTACCCCGGAAAGTCCTTAGGAAGGAATTATTTCCAGTAAGTACAACACAGCCAGATAAAGGGCCAGCAGACTCAACACTTCCCCTCCAGCGCTCGTTTACGGCCCACGCTGCGTGAGACGAACGGCTGGCAGAACTGTCGCCAATACTTAAATTGCTATTTTTTCTTGTCCATGATTTAAATTGTTCTTTTACTTTATGTCACTCC